CGGGGTCGCGGGGTCGCGGGGACTCAGCTCTCACCTCGGGCTGCAGGGCGTCCGCTCGCCGGCCGCGGGCGGGACCTGGACTCGGCTCTTCCGGAGGCACAGGAACGATCCAAGACAGGAAGTCCCGCCCCGGGGGCGTGGCTGCTTCGGCCCCGCCCCGCCGCATCCGGCCGGCCTGNAGCGGCTCCTGCCTCGCCTGTGGTGCTGACTCGCTGCCTCCTGCCTGCACTTTCTTCGGTTCATAAAAAAAAAATTCCTCTTTATTCTGCTCACCCCTTCTTCCACTCCTTCCCCTTTTCCCATTTCCCTCTTTCTCCCTTTCACTTATTCCAGACTACTCTTGACAAAACACAAATTGCAGGTATACATACAATTTTGCAACTTTTATTTGCCAAACGTATACTAGGTAGTAAACATATATATATATCATATAAATTATATATATAAACCATACACACACACACACACACACACACATATATATAAAACAGGTAGACTGGTGATGGCCACAACCAATTGCCCCTATCTCAATAATTCATTTGTTTACCATTTAGTGAGGACTTAACATGCTTCAGACAATTGCATTTTTATGTGCATTATTTTGCTTAAACTTTGTAACAGTTTCATGACAAAGGTACAATTAGCTTCACCATATGGATGAGGAAACTAAGGTCCAGGGAAGCTGTTTGTCCTCAGGTCACACAGCAAAGGCAGAGGGTGGGACACACCGACTCAGAGTCCACTCTTGGGAACTCTATGGAACAGCGAGGCTACGTTGTGTGAGACACAAGAACTAGTCTGAGGTCCTTAAAGTCTTCAAATAACAGCTCTGGCATCATGGGATACAGTCTTACCATTTTAATGCAAAAAGCACTGCACAGATCCGAGATGTCCAAGCCACAACAGGACCAGGAAAGTGTGGTGTTCGGCTCCTTGCTTGTGAAGAGATTGCTTCCCTTTATTTTATCAAAAAACAGGGTGTTGTCACCAACACATTGAAGATGAAAGAGCTCTCAGATGAATGACCAATTCTCAAACCTCACAAAGAGCCAGAATTTTGCTTTTATTCTTCTAAAGATGGATGCCTTAAGTATCTGAGTTGAATACCTTGATTTGTCTAGCAAAAAATGCTTCTGTGTTCTTGATAAAAAAGAAGAAAACTTCAGAAATTAGCTTTTTTGGTTCTTTGTTGTCAGACACCTTAACATAAACTCTTGCCAATTTCATGGTAACAAGTGTTGATTCATAAGCAAATAAAATGTTCCAGGCATTTGCAGAAATGTCGTCAGCATCCTCTTTAAACCTCCTTTAAATTAACGTGGTCCCACTCATAGACAGAAGATCAAGTATCTGATTCTCTCAAATTAAAATCACTTCAAGCTTTCTAACTCAAATGAGCAGGAAGTTCAACCTTTTTCTAGGGACCTCAGCTTCTACCTCACAATTATTCTCAGGTAGCTCTGAGAGTTTTTAGTCCACAGAGGCTGTTCTGCTCCCAAACATCTGCCAGAAAGTGACATGAAAAGTCCTCTAGTGCACCGGGTGGTCTAGCACTCAGCTCTGGTTTTTGCTGTGTGGCAAACTGGTCCCACAAAATCCAAAAGATTTTTGTCTGTGAATGGTCCAGGTGGCTGCAGGGCACTCAGTTCTTGGTGCATTGCTCCTCAAAGGGGCAATTTTTAAAGCTACATTTGCAGTCATTGTTCCCAATCCCAAAGATCTACCATGCCGAGGTGGTTGGGAGGTAGGGAGGGGCCGGGTTCCAGCCCCATTCATATAGTGTGAGAACAAAACCTGCTCTCTGGCGTGGAGTCCAGGTCATAGTTCCACACTTCACTAATATCAAGTTCCCTCAGAGGGCCTTTGATATCCCTTTTCACCAGCTGACTTCATCCAAGAGAGAGGTGCTAAGTATGGTAAACCTCAAAATGGAAAGGAGGAGAGATCTGAAGCCCCTGACTCCTCCCCAGACACCTGACTGTACATGGAGGGACTTCTGGGGAAGGATGGCCTTTGTCAGCTAGAGAGTTTTCTGGTCATGCTTCTGCAAGGGTAAAAGGTGCCCAACTGCCCTGTATTTGCACTTGGGTATCTTGTTAACCCTACTTATTCCCAAGAGATGACTGCTTATAAATGGCAACTCCTTTCACTAAAACAAACAAACAAACATAAAACAGGTTCACATCACAAGACTTTCTTGGGTAAGAGTTGTTTAGGGGACTTGGATTTTAAAAAAAATTTACATGTGCAATGTGCAGGTCATCAGGGGGCAGAGTCTCCCAGGTAGCTAACGGCACTTAATGTTTTGACGTAAAATAGGCTGGGGCTGCAGATATTGGTTAAGCCCCTGACGTGCCCTGTCATGCCAACAGCTTTCCCAAATATAGAAACATACATCATAGAAATGTATACTTGGACAACGCATCACAGAATCCTCTCTCTTACAGGATGAAACTTAAGACTGGCCTAACCCTCTGCCTCTGAACCCTTTTCTAACCAGTCACAGTTGTGTAAACTACTTGGTATGAACTCACCAATTAGGCAGCATGCTTTATGCATCTCGTTCTTTAAAAAATAATAACTAAGTAACTTCATTCCAACCCAAATTAAATAAATTTTATGTAAAAATCTTCATTTTTCATGATACATCTATAAGAGAAACAAAATATATTCCAAGCCCCATCCACGCATTTTCAACTGCTTTAAACATGGAAGACCAATCGGATACACATAGTAATAGTAATGATGAATTCACTTGTGTCAGGCAGTGCTCTGAGAACCTTGTTCCTGTTAACTCATTTAATCCTCACAACAATAGCATGAGGTAGGTATCACCCCCACATTCCACATGAATTTAGGTAGAGAGAGAGTAAGTATTTTAACCAATGTTATCCAGCTGGTAGGTGACAGAGCTGAAATGGCAGACCCAGGCACAGTCTGGCTCCAGAGCATATGACCTTGACCTTTATAGATATTACTGATTAATTAATCCACTAAATGTTTAATGAGCATCTACTTTGTTCGAGGCATTGTGCTAAACACCACAGGGAATTCAAAGAATATGGGGTCCTGCGCTCAAGAAGCCCATGTGTTGGTTGCTTCTTTAACTACAGCAATCACATGCCTTTATTCTCATCAACCTGAACCATCTTTGCTCCCCCCCATCTCCCTGCCCATGCTGCTAGGTCCTGGAATTTCATGCCAGAATCCTAGACTCAGGAGTTGAGCAAGATCTTAAACTTCAACTGAATCTCTTCACTTTACAGATGTGAAAACTGAAGTGTGGAGAAGTGTCTTGCCCAAAGTCGCAAGGTTAATGATAAAGTCCGACTAGGAAGGCAGGTCTCTCATCTCCTGGTCAGTAGAATATGCTCATGGAAATATATATGTTAAATTTGTGCAAGCTTAGTTGTATTTTCCACTCCTAAGTGGAGTTTCTGTTGAAAGGACTCAGTAGTAAGAGACTCCAAGTGGACAATTACCATTTTATAAAGCAAATAACATCCAGCCACCACGATGCCGAAGCCCAACTTTCATGTCTGGGTGTTTGCACACTGAAGTTGGGGAAATTACAAAAAGAGAACTTAGGGTATCTTACTGGCTGGCAAACTAATTACCTAATACTATGAGAATTTACAGAATGTCTGTTACATGGACACCCCTGCCATAAAAAGTTGGGATATTCTCCTAATCACTACAGGAGGTGTTTTTTAAATTGCTCTTTCCCACTTAAGAGACTGTCGCGAAGTATATTCAAATCCAACTCCATAAAACATTTCCAGACCAACACAGCTGCAGTGGTCTCTTTCCCTGAGCTCCTGTGCGATAATGACTATATTACGGTAATGTGCGTACTCTGATATTGTATATGCCTCCTCCCTAGTGTCAAGTTTGCAGTCAGGTCATCAGTAGGTGGACAGCAGGCCTCATTTTAGATATTCTTTGAATCTCCCACAGTACCACATTCCAAGTGGAAATGCTGCCATGCTTTGATTGCTAGATCAGGGGAGATTTTTTTTCTTTTATCTTCTGTGATAAGGGCACATCTTTTCTTTGCCCTGTAGAACATGAGAATCAGTAGCATTTCACAGCCAGAGCATATAGCCACTGTGAAAGGAGCCACAGAAGCTGCGTCGGCTTGGGACTGGGAGAGAGAGAGCTGGATCATGGCCAGAGCTAAGACGCTGTTTAGTATCCCACTTTCAATAGCAACAGTTTTACACACAGGGAGAGGCAGCCTCGAGATTGTGGCAAGGGAGTACCCGCAAAGCACACCCAGAGCAGGAACTAGGGCACCCAAGAGAAGCACCTCTAGATTAATTGTCCTTACAAACACTAACCCCATTCTGAAGGTCAAATAAATCCCCACGGACATTAAAATAAAACTCAGAGGTCTAATGATCCTCTCCAGGACGTTTGCCTTTTCAGGTATTCTATGCTTCATGACCATTCCAGCTGATATAGGTACAAGTATGAAGAGAAGTGTTGACATAATTTTCAAAACAGGAATATGGAATGTACCAGATAACCCTAAGATCCTACTGTACAGGTAAGAATTGGCAGGCATCATTACCAGGGCCAATACTGTTGATGTGCATGTCATCAAAATGGCCAAAGTGATATCTCCTTCTAGAAGCAGAGCAAAGAGATAGCCCCCACCGCCTCCTGGACACGTGCAGGTCATTACAAACCCAAAAGCCAGTGCCTCGGGCAATGCCAAAATCTGAGTCAAAAGAAATCCACAAAATGGCATCAGAAAAAACTGGGTAACTGCCCCCAGAATTACTGGCAAAGGTCTCTTCCATACTGCTTGAAACACCTGCGCTTCAATCTTGCAACCAAATGCGCATTTATTTAACAGTATCATTGGCAGAATAAGCATTAGGATGTTTCTATCCACATGCATCGATGCCTGGAAAAGGCCGGCTGCTCTTTGTTTGAGCACTCGGACTCTGACATTTTTTATTTCTTCAATGAGTCTTTCTTGCCTACCTTCGGAATCCCACAGTTGAATGGTCAGGTTTGTCTCTCCTTCTTCCTCTGTCACTAGCTTTATGATGAAGTTTGTGGCATCCGAGGCGGTCTTGGTCACATTCACCACCTGCAGCATTTTAGGGTCTTGGAGCTGCACAGAGAGGTGGCTGGCGTTGGGCCGGTTGTCTCTGTAACTTGATCTGACGAGGACGGTTTCTTGGGTCTTTGTGAAAAACAGGATGTCAGTCTTCCCTGTACTCAGGAGACTGAGAAATGGTTTCCCTGCTTCTCCAAGAGCCACAGAAAGCAAGACAATAAAGAGGCATCGAGTCATTTTGAAAGCTTAATCACATATGCAAAAGCATGAAAAACAACTAGAGAACATTCCCGGTAGGGGCGTCCCGATGCCGGGCTGAGGTTGAGCAAAGAGTTGTTTTGCGGGATCAAAGTACAGGAGGAGGGACTGTGTACTTTCAAACAAATACCAAGCTGCCTCCTGAGTGGCACAACCTGCCTAACTTGTAGTTATGAAAATGTATGAGCCGCAGCACACTACAGCCTCAACTGATCACGGCAGAAACCCAACCTCTCCCTTCCCCATTTCCTCGTTTCTGCTCATGAAAAAACAGCTTCCTCTTCTCCTGCATTTAAAGACAGTGTCATTGTTTTTTCAGTTTTCTTTCTTCTTACGGAAAATCTATACTAGAAACACTTAAGATCTGAAAATCTAAAATAGGTATTGAGGAGGCCTGCAGGTGGGTGTTACTATTTTATTCATTCATGTCAAGATCAAGTAAGTGTTCATTGGCCACGTTTGCTGGGCACTGAGCCCGGAGCAGGGTACATAGCAAAGGAATCCAACCAGACGCCGGCTTCACCCTCCTGCAGCTCGCTCGCTCAGGTGGCCCTTCAGCATGACTTAGAAAACCAGAGCCCAGAAATTAGCCCTGCAACATCCTGAGGCGGCTGATAGATTTCCTACAACTTTACACAGCGAGTGCATCGGTTAGGCAAAATCTGAAACTGTTTTTGGAATCCTTAAGTGGAAAAACAATTTCCAGGATGGTGACCAGGTAGTTTGAGAACCTAGGGAAAGCAGGTGACCGGACCCATGCCAAAGGGACAGTTTGGTTAAGGGACCACTGCTGCTGGACCTGGAGCCTGACACAGTGGGGCAGTGCGAGGCCATGGTACTAATGCTCTTACTGCTCCCTTGTAACACTCGTCTCTGTTCACAGTGAAGGGCAAGGACGTCCCACTGACCCAGCCGAGTCATGTGCCTGGGCCTTGCCTGCCAAGAATAAAGGAAAGTATCAGAGTTTTTGGACTTCAACCCACATACTCCCATGATGACGTATTTCCCAAACAAGGAATGTCTGTTATTCCTGCTAGTATGTCTGCTATTAAGCCTACAGATCTGGTAGTCTCTGAACAGATGACCACTTCTGCAGATCCCTCAGGGAACCAAGACACAACCGGTGTTCAACGCAACAAGGACAGTTTGAAGTAAGTATTTTTAGATCACAGTATTTGCTCCTCAAAAACTGTTAAAGCAGTTTTACTGGACATTTCATAGAGTTTTTAAAAATTCTACTTATGTAGGTTAATCTTTCAAATCTTTCAGGTGTAGACCCTACACCTGAAACTAATATAATATTGAATGTCAACTCTAATTAAAAAATAATTTTTTTAAGTTTTAAAGAATGCAATAGACCCTATAGTTCATAAATTGTGTTTCCATGTGCCACATCAAGACAGTGTACTGATGCTGAAAATGGAACAGAACTAATGTTCCTGATACCTCAGTTAAGTTCCCAGAGACCGTTCCTAGTTTAAAAAGACAAAAACAAAACAAACAGAAACCTTATAAAACCAAAGCCATCTTCACAGTATGTGACCAAACATTTTAACTCACAGTTGTTGTTGCCCAGGTCAACAGTGTGAGGAATGAACCTTTCGTTTGCCTCTGGTTCCTGTCTGCGCCCTTTGCCTTCCCCAGCTCCCCTGGATCTTCCCCTTACCTCAGGTCTGCAGGGAATAAAATCCAACAAATCGGGGAAATGTACTCATCTGTCCTTCACATCTTCACTGGCCGATTACATTTCAGTGGAAGCTCATTCGTATCATACTGTTGTTACAGCTACGGCATCTGAATTTGAAACTACTTGTGGGCTTTCCACCTATATTACTTGTCTGCAAGCAGGTGGAAAGACACTAAGGTGGGGTGGGAACAGTGAAACCCTAAAATTTCAATGAGCATACTCAATGGAGAGCCCTAAAAGAAGGTCGGAGAAAGCTGTCTGATATCAGTAATTTGGAAACGAGAAGCTCGGGGGCTTTTCTCTTGCCCACAACCTGTTCTCTTGAGGAGACTGCTCAGGCTGGAGCCCCCATCTCTGGAGCCTCTGAGGAAGCTGGTGCCTGTGTCTTCCAGACAAGCTTGCCCACTACCTGGAAACTACCTTACCACGAATGCCTCCTGACATAAGTCCTTCCCTCCGTGCCCCATGCTCTCCTCTCTCTCTAATTACTGACAGGCCGGCTTCTGCCTTCTCCCCCAACGTGGCTCAGTGTCTGCCAGCCTTCCCGGCCCCCTACTCACCCCCACTGGCACTTTCTCTGGTACGTTTAGCTTTAGCTGATTCATGAGACGTGTGTTGATGCCTTGCCACACACAAGTAATTATGACACATGCTAAGGTACTCATTTGTACGAAAACTTTCTGGTATTTGAAAACAGATTTAAGGATTATTTCTACTTCTGGTCATTCAGTTTGTGATGAAAGATCTGTTGGAACACAGCTATACTTACTATCCATCTGTTCATTTGGCACTTGCCACACTGCTTTGCATTGTAGTCACCATGGCAACTAGAATTAAATCCTTACCCTTAGTAGGTACTCGAATAACTACATTAATAAATGAGTGTATAAGCAACTGATGCAAGTTAGAAGCCATCTCCATTTTTTGCATGAAAATAATATGAAAAAATATTAGAGATTAAATGAACATTCCAGGTTTATTCCTTAAAACCTAAAGCCACTATGCATGTCATATAATTAAAACAGAAAAGGGACATGCACACCAGAAATCATTTCTGTTCCTTCTATATAGTAGTCCTTTGTTGAGGATGGAACACATCGGTCAGAGGCATTCATTTTCATGTGGTGGTAAAATGTAGTTACTTTGGGCATGTGTTTTGCTTTGGTAGATATAAAGAGACTGCAATCAAGTTGAGCTACCCCATCTTTCTTCTCATGAAATACATTCACACAAACAAAAACAGGTGGTGACTCCTTAGAAGAGAACCTTTGTCAGAGATATGCCCCAGAGTGGGTAGATGACAGCAGGAAAATCACTTCCCCTCCCAGACCTGAGATTCCTCATCCAAAAACTCTGAAGAGTCAATGAAACAATCTCTCAGTTCTTCTGATTCAAGTACACACATCTATTTATACACCATGGAGCAGGTATACAGAAAAGCCACACTTCCCAGCACCACGGTGCTATGCTTGGCCATGTCACTAAAGCGAATATAATACATGTATCTTCTAAGAGCCAGTTCTTTCTTCCCCTGTCATAAGAATGGCAATGTCCCAAGGACATCAAAACATTTGGTGTAGATTCTGGGGTCAAGGTGACACGGGGTAGAGTCATGGTCAGTCAACAACTCACATAACCAATGAGAAATACACCCTTGTTTTTGTTATTACAGCACATCCTCATAAAAGCTAATTAAGTACAATAACTTGCTAACAACTGCGTGTCAATTCAGAGTTAAACTTTAAAACAAAAATATTTAAACTCAATTATAGGAAACTGACAATGGGCATTATGACATAATGGAAAAAATGTTAAAGAAACTTTTTTTTTTTTTTAAATATGTCTTTATTGACCTCAGAGAGAAGGGAGAGAAAGAGACAGAAACATCAATGATGAGAAGGTCATTGACTGGCTGCTTCCTGCACGCCCTCTGCTGGGGATCGAGCCCGCAACCCAGGCATGTGCCCTGACCGGGAATCGAACTGCAGTCTCCTGGATCCTAGGTCAATGCTCAACCACTACAGCAACTTTTAAAAATAAAAAAATGTACAGTACTTGTAGTAAAAGAAACTGACTTAACATAGAATTTTCCTCATGATTCCTGGACTGAATCCTTGAATGACTATTCCAAGTAAGAGTCAACATTCTTTAAAAACTGGTCTTCCTCACTAAGGTATTCCAAGACAGCATTCCCGCCATTGTATAAAGGACAGTCTTCCTTGGTGATCCAGGCTTCCAGTGTGTGGTCCAAGGGTAGCGCTTCTCCCGAGGTCACGTGACACAACCTTAACTTCTGTTAGGAGAGAAGCAGAGCACACTGTAATGAACATGGGTGTGTAGCATACCCTAAAACTCCCGGGGAAGCTATTATAACCAGCTGTTACCTTGGCTGTGGATTTGTTATTGTCATTTCTGAGACTGGCTAGAGAAGCTGCAAAGTCAATGACCTTCCCAATGCTCCATCGGTGAGAGAAGAACATGGGTTTGCTCTTCTCTTTGCTCCCCTTGGGTAAGAAAACCTGCAAGTAGATTCTTTCTGCCTGTAAAGAACAAAAAAGTTAAAATGCAGATTATATACATGAACTAGACATCTGTTTTTGTCTGGTGGCATCTCATCCTCTCTTCTCCTGGTCAGAGAGGGATTACCCTCTGATGGTAAAACTGCTAGTGGGAATGTCAATCATAGTAGCCTAGCATCCACCTGAATGCGTGGGACTAGGACTAGAGACTCTGGCGAGAGAGATCTGTGCAAAGACAGGTATGTGCCCTCGGTTAGGCCAACTAAGGTCTTTTCCTGGGATTTTATACTCAAAGCTGGGAGTGGGAAAGGGGAGCTCTCTTTTTCCAGAGTTTTTTAAGTCTTACTGAATTAAACCTGGAATTGCCTGCAGCTATCCCCCAGCCCTCTCAGCCATTCCTGAACCAAGGTGGAAAAAGTCTTGTCAAATGGGAAAGAATGAGTCAGGCAGAAGTCAAGGACACAATGGACTCTTTCTACTGCATCTGAGTCTGGAATTCGGTCATCCCTAGAGACCGGATCAAAACCACTCCCAACACATGAGGGAAAAAACTGTTCTGATTAAGCTAGTTGGTATCAAGTTTCTGTGCCTGCAAATGAAAGATCCCTGAAACATAAAACATGTCTTTTCATGTGAAAGACCTCACAACGTATTTAAAGATAGCAGGGCTTTTGAGAATAAAGAAGCTAAAAAAAGAAAAGAAAAAATAGACAAGTACCAACCATAAAAATAAAAGAGAAGGATTCTTCGGTCTGGATGGTTCCTCTAGTAGCTTCCTCTCTAACCTCTATATGCTTCCTCATATTGTATTTTCTTGATAAATTAATAAATGCAGAAAAAGAAGTATAAGAGCAAAGATGCTTGGCCTCAGATCTTCCTTGATTCCTAAAACCAGCTTTAAGAAGAGCTGGTTTTACACATAAATTCCTGCTACAATAAAATTGTTGGCATAAGAGGAGCATCTCCAAGTCATAAAGAAAAGATTATAATTATCTTCAAAAACATTAGATTCAAGACAATTCCTATCCCAGCATTAAGATTTGTTGTAGACCAGTGGAGTGTGTTATTACAGATAACAAGTATTAAAAGAAAAAATAAGAAATCATTGGAAATTCAAGTTTGGGCTAACTCTATAACCTAGTAGGTTCCTGCTCTAAAATTAAAGTAATAAGAGTATAAACATAAAAAGAGGATATTAAAAAGATATAGCCTCACCTAAAAAAAAAAAGATAAATATGTCTGAAGATCAAAAATGAAACAAATGCAGAAAGGTGAGTGGGCACAGTGAGAGACACAGAAAGGAGCTCCTATTCAACACAAACATGCATAGTCTGTAAACTGAAATTTCAAAACAAAGCAAAGATGAAAATAACTAAACATGAAAAGGACATTTTAAAAAGTTATTTAGGATTCACAATGCGAAAAATTAAAGAATAATATCCATAAAAAAGGAACAAGAAGTTATAAAACCAAACCAGGAAGAAGTGAAACAAGAAAAACTATAAATATCTAATAAGAAATATAAACATTAAAAAATACAGTTTCTGCAATAAAAAACTCAGGATAAATTTCTATGACTTTCCATAAAAAGGTTTACTTGATTGGAAGATGGAATTGAGGAAGACATCTAGAATGCAGCACAAATAGACATCAAGATAGGAATTATAAATCCCAAAATGTGTCTGAAACTAACAAAAGTTTCAGAAGAGAATAGATGATGGAGAGGCAATATTCAGAGAGGAAATGACTATAATTTTCCAAAAGTGAAAAGTCAAAATTTTAAATGTACCTCAAGGGCCAAACTAGATAATTCAAGTATATCCATGCCCAGAAACATTGCACTGAAATCGCAAACTATCACAGGTAAAATCTTAAAAGCCACCAAAAATGACAGATTACCCATAAATCAATGAGAATCAAGAGACAGAAAATGTTTCCCCAACAACAGACAACAGAGGCCAATGTACAGCAGATCCACAGAGGTAAGTGTCTAATAGATAATGCAGCTCAAGCGAAGGTATAAAATAGGGCACTTTCAGACAAAAGAGACTAAGAGTTTATCAGCCAAGACTCTGAATGAATGAACCGCTAAAGAATGGACTTCAGCAAAATAAAAATAAGTCTTAAGGAAAGAAACTCAAAAAATATGTTGATAGATTTACACAGCTGTTGATGAAAATAATATATATGTGTGAACAAAGATGAAGGGATGGGAGATATTCGAGTGGGTAGGCAAGGCAAGTTCCTTGTCCTTTAAAAAAAAAAAAAAAAATGTTTTTACTGATTTCAGAGAGAGGAAGGGAGAGGGAGAGAGAAACATCAATGATGAGAGAGAATCATCCATCAGCTGCCTCCTGCACGCCTCCTACTGGGGATCAAGCCCACAGCACAGGCATGTGCCCTGACGGGAATCAAACCGTGATCTCCTGGTTCATGGTGCACCGCTCAACCACTTAGCCACACTGGCCAGGCAAGTTCCTTGTCCTTATTAAGAGGATATAATACCAAGTAACTTTAGATTTTGAGAGGAAAATTGGTATTTAATTATATATACATATTAAAAATTAAAAATATGAAGACATGCCTGTTATGACCATTATTATATTATTATTATTATTATATTGGAGATTCTAGATAATACAGTATAAGCAAATTAAATAACTAGTATAGTTATTAAAACATGAAATTACCATTATCCTTATTTGTTAATGGATGTGACTGTATATCTAGGAAATCAAGGGCCCTAGCGGTGAAGAAACTTCTGAAATTAATGACAGAGCTGATGGCGCGGCTGACCAGATGAGTACACAGAGATCAAGGCCTCTCTTCTATCAGCCATGAGAACCTGAAAACAGAAGTGGGCACAAGTGTCCTGTTCACAACAGAAATAACCAGGGATGAATATAAATAAGGAGTAAGACTTAAATGGAGACATGTATGTTATAGAAGCAGGAACGCATGATCTGAATAACTGAAAAGACATAAGATTCCTAAACAGGACCACCATGTAATAAAAATGTCATTTCTCTCAAAATTGGTAAATACCATATAATGCAAATCCAGTATGAACCCTTCAGGGTGAGGCTGATTTTTCCCTTTATACATCTTTTAATAGTTACACTTGTTAAAAGTATGTAGGACCTTTGCACATTTAAAAACATCAAAAAAAGATTTCAAGAAAGGAAAATACTAAGGATAATCACTAAAAGAAGAAGACTACAATTAATGGTTTCTAAAAGAGCAGAATAAGAGAAAATACAGAAAATTTGATCAATGCAAAAGATGACAGGAAAGGGAAACAAAGGAAACGGATGGTGAGCAAAAATCATAAGATGGAAGAGACACATTCAAAGGTATCAGTGACCACAATAAATATAAATGGATTCAACTCACCTATGAAAGAGGGATACTATCAAGCTGGATTAAAAAAACAAAGTCCAGCTATATGCTGCTTACAAGAGACACCCTAAAACAAAACAACACAGAAAAGTTGAACATAACGTGATAAAAAAAGACATAATAGTTAAATATTAACTGAAAGAAAACTAGTGAAACAATACTATTGTAATTCAAAATAGCATTTAAGGCGAAATTCATAAAGAAGATATAACAATGAAGAAATTCCACACACCTGGTAATATACAACTCGGCAAAAACATTCAAATTAAAAGAAAAAAACATGAGAAAACCACAGCTACAGGAGATTTTAACACATCTGTCTCAGAAACAGACAGATAACCAGACCAAAAATTAGTATGCACACACACGTACACACACAGGCACACATATGCAGACCTCTATAGACAGAGAGAGCGAGCTGCAAATGATAGAGCAGACAGGGCAAAATATAAGCAACTGGTACATTTGGGTAAAGAATACGGAAAATTACTTTCTTTGTACTATTCTTGCAACTGTTCTGTGTCTGAATTAAAGTTACCTAAAAAAAAACACCCAAGAAGTAGGCTGAAAATAGATAAGTTCACCATTCAATGTGAGAAGTTAAAAAAACAACATTAGAGGAAATCTGAACAAAAGAAGAGAAGAGGAAATAATAAAAGAACAGAATTCGGTGAAAGAGAAAGCAAAAAACAATACAGAGGTCAATGAAACCAAAATATGGTTCTTTGTGTCTTTTCAAACACAAACCTCTAGGAAGACTGTTCAAGGAGAAAACAAAGAAAAATCCAAATGAAAAATATTAAGAATGAAATGAAATGGAATGACCAAAGACACAGTAGAGATTCTGGAACGTAAGATAATAAGTTGAACAACTTTACAACAATAAACTGGAAAATCTACACCAGAAATTTTTAAGAAAAATGTTATTTACAAAATCTTATTTCAGAAGCAATAGATTATCCAAATAAACCAAGAACTATTAACATTTTGAAATAGAGTTAGAAATTCTCCCCCCCAAAAGGCTATAATAACCATTACCAAACCTTCAAGAACAAAAAATCCCCACCCCTTACAACTATTTCAAAGAGTAGAAGAGGAAAACTCAGCTAAGTATAATCTGGCTACTGTCACAAAATAACACTAAATAATATATTAGAAAATCAATGTAGCAGTGCATTTTAAAAGAATTATAGACCAGAGTCAAGTGGTTTATCCCGGAATACATGGGTGATTGAACAACAGAAAAATCCATCAACATAGTTTATTACATTGACAAGGGGGGAAAGAAGGTCATCTTAATAGATGCAGGAAAAAAACTTACAGAAAAACTTCATGATATAAATTCCTAGCAAACTGGGAACAGGAAGAAATATTGTTAACCTGAAAAAAGCTATCAAAAATCTCCAGTAAAGATAATACTTAATGGTAAAACTTCAGAATCATTTGGATTAAAGTCAGATGCCTGCTGTCACCTGTATTATCCAATATTGTTCTGGAGAGTTCAATCAATGCATTAAGACAAATAATGATGAAAAGGGGGAGGAGTAAAAGGAAAGAAAACTTGGGAAAAAAACAAAAAACCCTCAAAACACAAAACTGTCATTTGCAGAAAATGTAACTGTACAGAAAACCTACAAACTACGGGAGCAATCAGACATTTCTCCGCTGGATAGAAGGACAACATACAACAATCAGCAATAACCAATTAAAAAAACATTAGTTTTTTTAAAAAAAGTTATTATTTGCAAAGAGAGCAAAAATTATGAAGAGCCTAAGAAGATGCCCAAGAAAAGCTATATAGATAGGTATGGTAAGCACAACAGATGTTATTTAAAGACAGAAAAGAAGATCTAAAGAAAAACTGGAACAATTGACCATTCACATGGATAAGAGTCAAAATTCTAAAGAGGGCAATTGTTCTAGGAGAAAAATTCAGGACAATTCCAATCAATCACAATTTCACAGAGCAGGACAAAGCGATTCTACAATTTTTATAAAAGAATAAATGGCCAAGAATAGATACAGCTGAAAGCAAGGAATAAGGTGCAGAGACTTGTCCTACTTATTATACAGCTATGACAATTAACACAGCTGGACACTGATGCAAAGATAGACAGAAAGAGAGGAACCGAACTGGATTCCCAAACTAGTCCCACATGTATAGGACAAGATGGTAGGTGACAGAGGTGTAATCACCAGGACTAACTCTCAATATCTTATGTTATGACCATAGGTAACCCATTCGGGGGGTGCGTGTGTGGAAATCTTTACTTCCACTTACTTACAATTAAATTATAAATGAAATAAAGAGCTAAACAAAATAATCGAATAAAACAAAGCTTTTAAAGGAAAATATAAGAAAATATCTTAAACAACTAATTGTGAAAAGTAAAAATCTAAAGGAAATCATTAATAAATTTGAGTATATTAAAATTTTACAAGCCTGAATCACTAAAGAGATCAAAAACAAAGGGAAGACAAACCACAGGCTGAGAAAAGATATGTGCAACACTTGTAATCAAAGCATTCAGAACATCTAAAAAAATCTTACAAATCTATTTTAAAAAGTGTCAAACAACCCAACAGAAAAAAATGGGCAAAGGATATGAACAAATAATTCACAGGAGAAAGTCAATAGCCAATAAACTTAGGCAAAGTAGTTGAACCTCAGTAATAAAAAGGGAAATTTAACTTTAAACCTCGGTGAGATATAACTTCACATCTATCAGATTGGTAACAGTGCAATAGTGCCCAGTGTTGGCAAGAAACTCTGAAACTCTCAGACAGGAAGGCAAAAAATCAGCACAACCAATGACAGTACAAAGTTTACATATCCAGGAAAGCTGAAGATGAGCATAGTCCAGGACCCAGCTTTTCTATTCCCTAGAGAAACATTTTCCAGTCTGAGGGTCTCAATCCTGCAGGGATTATAAAATCAATAATCTTTAAAATAAAATAAAAAAGATCAGCCTATCTAATACAGTTGTAAGGCTAGGGGAAACTGTTTTAAGGTATTTATGTATTTATGTATGTACATACATATAAAATGTAATTGATATTATAGAGTTTTAAGGGGAATGGCCTAGAGGAACATTCCCACATACACACAAGGACATCCGCTGTTTAAGAATTTATAACAGCAAAAAAACGTGGAAAAATTGTGAATATTGTTCATTAAGAGAATGAATAAATGTGGTGTATTCATACATGGAATATCCAGCTATCACAATGAATAGACTAGACTAAATGTGTCAACATGGATAAATGCTAAAAGCATGATGCCAAGTGAAAAAACAAAAATTATTGAAGAAGGACACACATGGTTCCCTGCCATTTCTGCAAAGTGAAAAATCTCACAAAACGATGTATTTTTGTAGCTACACACCTGTAACACTAGGAATGACACATACCAGATTCAGGTTAGTTGTTACCAGATGGGAGGGAGGAGCAGAGAGGGGCTTTAACTATATTTAAACTTTTTTGTTTTTCAAAGTCTCTAAGACCAACCTGTGGCAATGACTTGTCTCCATCAGCATGCATCTTTAATTTCATCAGTGCTACCTTTGCAGCTGTTGCACTATTTTTTGCACCCTTCCGTCGCTTACTTGCTGTCTCTCCTGTCTTGGAATCTAAGAAAAAAGAACAAGCACATAAGCAGATAAGAACAGTTGTATTTTCCAGAGTTTTATTCATTATTACTTTTTATTATGGCCCTAGAACTTACACAAATTACACACAATGGAGATATCCAGAGACAACATTAATTGTGTAGGTACTATATTTACATGGTTAATGGAAAAATACCAGAGGTTGATCCAAGCAATCTCCACGTCAAAAAACTCAGTTACATGCTTCTTTCCAATTTAAGCCTATTTCATCCAATCACTAACACTTCTACAGAGAACTTTAAGATTTGGTTATATAAGATTTTAATAAAGGTAGTATCCTTAACAGAGAATGAAAATTCTGCTAAATTAACATGTTGGCAGAGAGACTGGCCTAGGTTATAAATACATTCCCTCCTCGTATGTCAGATTATCAGAAGCATTCATAGGACAGCAGACTAGGCTTAAAGTTTAGTCTTTAGAGACTACAATCCACCATGTTAGCCTCATGAATGCCATTTCTAGCCACGATGGTTAACCAGTTGATCTAAGTGGCCCAGCAAGAGAACATCTATTAGGGAACTTCTACAGCATTTCCAAATTTTCTTTGGTCAGGTAGGTCTTGTGAAAAAATACTTTTACAAGAATGTCATCAAAATCTTTTGCAAGTTGTAAGGACCAGGGGCTGTTAACACCTTCCATACTGAAAAGCTGGCATAAGAAGCAGGAGCTTTGGAACTAACAGAGTATATGGGCAACACGGAAAGCAATGAAACACACTTCCTTGATACTTGCCAATAATGTCTTTAACGAGTTTCTGAGTGGCAGCCATACGAGGCTTAGGGAGCTCCAGTTTTTCACATTCATGATCTGACTGATGACGGTGTCTGTGAGCAACAAAAGAGTGACACTACTTCAAGTATTTGCATACAAATTAAGCATATATACAGAGTGTGAATGATCTGAGTGATCACCTCAGGCAAAAGTTCTTCTCACAATAAGGACAGATAACTGGTACAAGCTCTTTCTCAGTACAGTCCTTAAATGAGCATGGATAAGACGCCTGCGTATCTGACTTCAATCTCTCCTTGACTGCAGTCACCTGAAAATGTAAAAAAACAGAAAATGGGAGTATTTCACATGGAGAGTAAATCAACAAATCTACTTTGGAAGGCAGCATTCAGATTATCTTTGCTTAAACTTATAAGAGCAACTTAGACACTCCCACAAAGAAGATTATAATATTTGTGTGAGAAATGATTATTGTGTTGACTGTTCTACATTTTCATAATTTCCTACTGTGGTATATTTATCTTCTAAGTCAAGTTAAAGTGACTATTCAGTTACTCTATAATTTTAGTCTTCTACTTTGTAACAGTCCAACACAAAAATGCCCCAGTAATAATATGCTCAGGTAATCATCTCATCATCAGTTCTCAACGGCAAATCATACCTACTTTCTACACCAATTTTAAGTAAATATATATAAATGAACACTTAAAAATTATGTTTATCCATGATACAGAGGGTTAAAGACAGTTTTCATAATGATATACTGTTCTTGATGGTGTGTTCAATATCACATTACCAGCAAATATTACATCAGAAAAAGATGAGATGTTTTAAGATTTTTTAAAAACCCAGATCAGCCAGGCTACTTTGAGTATAGGTGTCCCCCACTATCTGAAAGTAGTTGAGTATGCCTATGAAATCTTTCATAAGTTGAAATGGCACAAAGTGAAGAAACAATTACCATTAACTTATATGGAAAATTCTTTTAGTGTTCCCAGACCCCCCAAATGGGTCTCCCAGATGCTCAGACACAGTTCAAAGCTAGGGCACCCTAATGCTGAGATGCCAGGTGTGGTTCTGGGGAAGGAGCCTGGTGGGGCTGCTCTCACAGCTCGGGGTGGGCACTGCCTTTACAGGGCATGGCTAGTTCACTGCAAAACAAATGCTAAACACTATTTTCACTTTTCACCTTTGTTCATAAGAGTGAAAACCCTTTTTGGATTTCTTTTGGGTAGCACAGATACTAATGTGGGTCTTCCATAAAAGTGAAGGGGCTTAAAGTGAACTTTCTAAAACCGGGGGAGCCTGTATTAAATAACTATGCTTCCAGAGTTGAATGAACTTAGGGAAATAATTGCTTGAAATCTACAATCAAAGGATATTCCTCTATATAAATAATAGTTACATCTTGCTGGAACTGACTTAACTATTTTTCCAAATTTGTTCCTACAGTCTCAAGGTAAATGATTTTTCTTCACTATTTAACAGATCTAATTGAGAGACATTCTGTGAGAGACATTCATAGAAAATTAAATGACATCATAAGAAACAGGAAGGCACAGGGCAAGCTGTGTAAGCAGCAGCAGTATGTTTACTGTATGACTCTAAATAAGTATTTCCTTCCAGTTAATCCTACATAATACCAATAAATTTGTTAATTTTTAGTTTCCTCAAATAAATCACCTAAACTTCACAATGCCAGACTTTGACTGAAGCCCATTTAACCATAACTTTCTATAACTGAGAGAACAGATGTAAAATCCTTGGTAAGGTGCTTGGTAAACAATGGGCAGGAACAGATGTCCAAGGGCAAGGCTAATGCTTCCTTCCAAATGGAATGATTCTGTTTCACTTCCTGTCTCTCTCTGAACCAAGGGAGGTAGTGCCGCTTATTGGACTGTCAAATGTGAGAAAACTACTTTCCATGTGGTAGGCTCAGCTTTCTCTTTTTTCCCCTCTTGGAACTGAACTTGGAAGTCAGGAGGAGGCCTACCCTGGTCCAGCACTACTGTGACTGGCAAGCAACCTGCCTAATTTTGGCTTTCTTTGAAGACCTATTGGGCTCTCCTTACTAAGCTTTACCATTCACTTTCTCCTTTATCAATAATAAAGATATTTTGGCCTCTGTCTGCCAGCCCTTTTTAAATCTCTGGATTTGGTCAGAATTAGAATGGGACTTTGTTAAACTACAGGTTTGTTCCTGGTTGTCTAAGGCTGACTGAATGAGAACAATTTATTGCCACTGAATCCTAACAGCAGGCACCAGTAAAAATGAACACAAAAGTGGAGGAGCCCTAGCCAGTTTTGCTCAGTGGTTAGAGCACTGACCCGTGGACTGGAGGGTCCCAGATTAGATTCTGGCCAGTACCTCAGTTGCAGGCTTGATCCCCAGCCCTGGACTGGGTACATGCAGGAGGCAACCAATCAATGTGTCTCTCTCACATCAATGTTTCTCTCTCTTTCCCTTCTACTCTCTCTGAAAAGCAATGAGAAAAAATATCTTCCAATGAGGATTAAAAAAAAAAGAGTGGAGGAAACTGGAAGGAGTATATGATGAGGACATTAATTCCATTTTAGATCTGCAAATATAGAGCCTAAAGCTGCAAGTGGGCCACCTAAATAGAACTGAAGTGCAAAGAAATAAGAATTATGAGAATAAAAATGTATAAATACCAAGTAGACCAATTTTTCTTTAAAACAAACTGAGAAATATAAATGAAGCAAAAATAATACTTTGCATAATTAGCTTAATACACCAAATTTTACTCTGCTGTACAGACTGGTTTGAAGCCCCTTCCAGATAGGAAGAGAAGTACATAATACAAAGGTGTGCTAGTACACAGAACTATTAACATACCTCAGGACAGCTGTGCGACTCTCTGCTTCTGTGCTCAAGGCTTAAATAATTTTAAAAAATAGTGTTTATTTAAATGCAATCCAATAATATGAAGATAACTGCAATAATGTGAGATATTTCAATGGTTAGTTCCCTTAAGATTAATTACATTTACACTCCATTAAGAATTCTACATATAAGGATAACCGGAAACACCAGATACAGAGCATCTATTGCCTCAAAAGTTTTAAATGCAACTGTTCAACTTCCATATGAGCAAAAACAACTCATCACTCTAAATTACCTTTACTCTGAGTGCTTTCAGGTGTGTGAAAAGAAGAAAAATCTTTTGATTCTTTTTATTTCTCAAAGACCATTAATAATAAAAGGTCAAAGGAGTGCTCTAGTTCTGTTTTTAAAACATGCACTACTTCTAATAAATCTTTCTGAATTATCTTCCTAAGAGAATTTGTTCTTTCAGTGTTCTGTTCAATAAATTAAATGCCTGCCCTGGCCACTGTGGATCAGTTGGTTGGACGTTGGCCTGTGTAACTAAAGGTCGAAGGTTCGATTCCTGGTAGGGGGCATGCAGGAGGCAGCGGATCAATGCTTCACTCTAACATCGATGTTTCTCTCTCCCTCTCCCTCCCTCTCTCTCTAAAAATCAATAAAAATATTTTTTTAAATAAAAATTAAATTAATTAAATGCCTGATATGTGCAAGTGTAATTGTAAAGAAAATACATTTTCCAAAATCTTTGGTTTTATTTTGTATATTATGTGTGTGCAAAGAACATGTGATATCTAATTTAGGAAATGTATGGGTTGGGCTACTTTCCTTTCATTAATTAAAATAGAGTAATAATCATTAACTGGATTTTTTTCCATATACATTATATTGTGGACATGTTGTCTCCTTGTGATTAAAAGACACAAGTACAACTTTTACATTAAAAAAAAATCACACACAGATAATGCCATCTATGAAGTTTAAAGATTAACCAAATATATCTACAAGTAATCAGAGCCTATGACTAGTCTGTTTTTTCCAAGTGATTATCATAATGAATATCAAATATCAATGGCTAAAGTAAGAGCTATTTTACATCATTCTGCTGCTCAGAAATAAGCCTCATATTGCAAACACTAAAATTACTCCCAAACCCTGTGTAAAAACATAACTTACCAAAATATTCCTGAACAACCATCACATACAAATGGAAGAAAATCTAAAAGTGAGGGAAAATGTTACATTTTCTGGTCAGTATCTGATTTTGATTTAGTTTTCTTAAGCATATAGAATCTTCAAGTACTGAGCCACTGCCATAGATGAACTTTCCTTTTTGATCAATGTCCGAGTGTATCAAGTAGTGGTTAAACAAAAGCCATCACAACCCCAAGTCCTCTGGGAGAAAGTTACTAGATTACTAGGAGATAAGTGTTACTTCTTGTAGCATGCTAAATCTAAAAATTTCTGGGGGTTTTTGTTTTGTTTTTGTTTCCCAGAGTTAGTAGGTGTTGTTTTTGAAGACTGCATACTGAAAAAACACTGCATTTTAAGTGAAAAACCTGGGTTTCGATTCTGATTCCACTGTTTATTAATTTAGCAATGCTAGGCAAGTTACCATACAGTAGAGCTCTGGAGATTTTATATATAAATATATTTTATAGTATATGTATTATATCTATGTAAACACACACATATATACATATATAAATATACACATCAAATCAAAGCTTTATTATTAGGTAATATAGAAATAAATGTAGATATAAGTATATAATGTCTGTGTGTACATGTGTGTTTGTATATATCTATAGCTATGCTTTATGCTATATCTACTTCATAGGGTAATTATAAAAACCAAATGATGTTTGTAAAAGATATGAATAGTAAGAAAGTAACTATAATTCCTAAGATAATTACAATTAACTTATCTTGAATATGTTCAACCTGAGAAAAATCCTATGGTGACTGGGTGGAAATGCTTTTAGAGACTCCAGAAATTCGATAGATTGATTGATACTAAAATTTAATCCTGAATTGTGTTTTCCCTTGAGGAACAACCAAATTAGAATTAGCTAACTAAATAACAACTAAGTTAGGAACAGAATTTTTAGAAAGCACATGGAAGTATCCATTCCCAGATGTGGCACCAGATGCAATTAGTTACTCTCTAGATTGTTTTCAGTGTACCTCATATTAAATAATAGTTTATAGCCAAGTAAGGCTGGCTATATCCAATCAAACCACTTTTATGAAGTGAAAAGACACTGCCCTTTATAGGAAGCTACAGTTTCCCCCCGAAGACCTCATCCTACAGGTTACCTCAACTCCCAACAGAAAGAAAGGATCTTATAATCAAAAAGGACCCCTGGGTAATTCTGCTTGTGGGACATGAGAGCCCAAATACACTTCTTCCTTCACCTGGGAACTGCGCTTAATGAACTGTCACTGCTGCTCTGACTGAATGATTCTGTGAACATGTTTCATACCAAGAAAGTGTGTATACATTTGTCAGCAAGACAGAAACTGAAGCATGTAATACTCTGTAAAACTTTAATGTCTCTTTCAAATTGGAAATGTTGTACCTGCCTGCTATTTTGAGACTTTGGGTGACCATGTAAATATTAGATGCAAACCAAGAGGACTCGGGGTGAAGATCAAGATAATTTCCTGACACCCTACACCATCCTTCTATCCACCCAGAAACTAAAAAAAAATTAGGATATTCACTTAACATACTCCAAAATCTTAACCCCTGTCCACTAGTCCAAAGAGCTAGACCTTGGCCTCATTTCAGATATTTAGATTTTAGGAGACACCTGAATTTGGAAAGGAAGATGGATATCTCACAAATGGTAGATAAGGTGAACTTATTAGGGTTAATAGGGTATACCAGAGATATATAACTTACAGTCAAAATCAACTGGCTAAGCTTCAGGAAGAAAAACGTACAAGGAAGCAAAGGTTCTTACTTGCTGGAGGGCTGGCATCACAGCCATTGAAAGGTACATTTACAGAGGGCTCTAAGTAATGAGAGCCCAGCAGGGATGCTGTCCTTTGCCCACAGGCCACAGCAGGTATCCTAGTCAGTTGTGGCGCTCCCACTAATCCGGGCTGAACCTCAGAGTCCTTCTCATCAGTGACTCAGGAACCTGCCACCAGTGACTGTAGCTGCAACGGGAGATGAAGCCTACTGGCCACTCTCTCGAGCCAAATGCGATAGCGCCCATGTGGCATGAAACCCAGGTACCAAGGACCGAGCCTGCTGTGTGCTGCAGTGTGTCAGGGGCTTGCCTGGGGAGACGTGTGAAATCCTAAAGCCTGGGCCACGCTGCCCTGCGCCTGCTACTCCATGGGCTCCGTGCGTCACGGGTCCCCCAGCTCAGGGGACAGAGATCCCATGGTCACTGATGCTCTGAAATGCAGCTGACCTACCAGTTTGAAAGCTGTTCTACGAAAAGACCGAATTTCATAGCTTTACGAAGTCCCAGCCCCAAACCAGGTGCTGGGCAGACGTCTGTTGATGGGGTGACAATCGGGATGCAAGAGCGACAGGGCCGGGACAGTGGGCCACCAGGCGGAATAGTCTGAGGGTCAGAATCCCTGAGACTCTGGTAGAAGCTAAGGGCCTTCGCGCTCGAAGCTCGTCTCGGGAGGAGCCCGTGAAGCCGGGTTACACTGACCGCGCCCGCTGCCTTCGCCTGACAGTAGCGGGTTAAACAGTGAATCGGGGCAGGCCTGAGGTCGCAGTGGCAGGGCGGAGGGCGGCTCCAGCCCTCCCCCCGCGCGGCTTCTCGGCGAGTGCACCCGAAAACCCAGGGGCACGCCCCGGTGTCTGCAGGAGCTGCCGGGGTCCCTGCCAAGGAGACCACGTGTCTCCCTCCCACGGAGAAGCGCCCGCGCAGCTCGCGGCACGCGCCGGAGGACGCGCCCGCCCAGGCCTCCCCCT